GGTTAACCTTACATAACTTATCAAATGAGACACAGTATCCTAAGCACTTTGTAAACCTTGAAGTACTATATAAATATTGTTGTTGTTGTTGTTATTGTTGTTGTTCTTCTTCTTTCTACTACAGATCCCACGAAGCCACTTAGGTTCAATCTTCCTGTTCTCGCAATTCTCTTTCCCCTTTCAAATCTATACATCCAATGGGAATCTTGCTCTTTCCACTAAGGGAATAGTAACAATTAGAAATTATATTGCAACTCCTTTGTTTGAGTCTTCAGATGAAGGAAAAAGTCTTTTTTTTTTTGTCCTGAATCTATAATATAGCACTTGGGGAACAGAAATAGTAAAAAAATTTTTTAAAGAATTTCATCATTTGATATTTCACATTCACTTTATTCAGTGATACCACTAATTTTTTTTTTTTACTGAAGAAATCAAATACTGGGAGATCCCATCCTGGACAATGATAAAGGGTGATGGACTTGAAGCTGAAAATATCTCAGGCTTTGAGATGGTAGCTTGTGTGAAGTATTTTTTCTTACTTTGACAAAAACTTTTAGGTAAAAATATTGTCATGACTGTAACCTAATTCTATCACTAAATCTTTTTTTATAATGGGTATGCATTTATTTAGACAGCATGATGACTTCAGTACAGGATCTAAGCAGGTTTAGTCATTTCCTCAGAGGGGAAAAACGATTTTCTATTCATGAGCAGAAGGGACTTTCTCTCCTCCCAAGGTGCACAGGTGATTCATGAAGAAGGAAAATATACATTATTGGTTCCCAAATGGCATATAACTACATCCTCTTCCACGACAAGCAAGGAGGCGTTGTAATTTCCTATGAGTCTCCTTTGGTCCATGCTAATTTCATACATTTTATATCAAGGCAAAATCTCTAAGGAGCATCAATTACCAACTTAAATACAGTTTCTATATAAAGCTAGATAGCAAAGTATTGCTATAACACTCTGGAATTTAAGGAAATCAGTTGTTGTTAAAGTCTGTATTTCCTTTAAATCCAAATGAATCAAATTCTCTTTATGTTCTAGGGCCTCCGTGACTAGTCTTGTAGGGAAGGAATTCAATGCTAGGAGATTCCAAGAGATGTGGGAGAAATCTTACGTGTCATCATAGATCTAAAGATGGAAGGGCCATTCAAAGTCAAGTAGTTCAAACTCATCATTTCCCAATTCCAAATTTCCTTAACTGACTTGTACAAGGTGACTCATGACCAATTGCCTCACTGAAAAAGACATGAATGAAATGCATGGATGCTCTTTTCAACTGTTTGAAGGTGGTAATTAAAATGAAAGATGTGTATGGGCACTTATTGTCACAGATATCCATTAAGTGTTGGAGTAAATATATTAAAAACAATAGCATTAGCTAACATTTAAATAATGTTTTAAGGTTTTCAAAATACTTTAAAAGATTATCTGATTTTTTCCTCATGACAACTTTATGAGATAGGTATTATTATCCCCATTTTACAGGTGAGAAAGCTGAGGCAGAGAGAAGTTAAGTGACTTGCCTACAGTCACAAAGTTCACAAATGTCTGAGGCAAGATTTTAACCTCAAGTCTGCCTAATCACTACATCAACTCATTGGGCCACCTAAATGTGTTCCTTAGCACTAGGTAGCCACACATGGAATATTAGGGGCAATTTATAACAAGGAATTTTTAAAATACTAAAATTACTATTGAGTACTATTGAGCCTTGCACATCCCAATGTTTGTCTGGGTTTTTTTAACTTTACATAGCAGTCTTTCCAAACCTTCCATACTGTTATACAACAATACACCCTCTTCCTTTCACTCTGGCCATTATCATATTGTAGAGTTTAAATCTGGATCTTTCTTTTTTTTTTAAAGGAACTTTTATTTAAAGATGTATCTGTTATTTGAAAAACGTAAGGTTCATTATAGAGCATAGAATCTGGTATTATGGTGCAACATAGTTCTAAATGGGATATGAAATAATGCCCAATGTTATACTTTCCTTTCTCAAACCAGAAACATTCCTGATTTCTCTTTCACTTGATTTCATGTCAGTCACTTGTACTTTGGGTTTTTCCCTATACTTTTCCAAGACCTTCATAGCAACTGGCTAAATATTTGTAGGGAACAGAAATAAAAATGAAGGCAAAACCTTAGTGTACCATGCGGCATGTATATTTTTCAGAGGCCATTTTGAAGCAAAATGTGAGCTCAATATAACTCCTCTGATAGGACATGATGGATCTTCTCCTTTCATTGTCAAATGAATTTTAATCAAATAAAACACATAGATATTAGCCAACTTACAAAACCTATTTAAATCATTCTAATGACTGGTTAGTATAGTGTTGCAAATCTGAATTGGCCACTTATATTAATAGACGGAAATTCTTTTAAATAACTTTAAACAGAAATCCAGTTCCTAAACTGCCCGTGCATAATAACTTAAGAATACAACTGAAGAATATAATTCTTCAACACAATTAAATAATATAAACTCTGACTGGAGCCCCCTGATGAAATTAAAATAATTAATTAACATGACTAGAACAAGGCATTTAAGGTGTTTTTTTTTAAATGATGAGGTCTCTTTGTGAGAATATTTAATAGAAATAAAAGCTGTTTTAGTTTTAGTTTGCATTTATCGAAGATGAAAGCGCAACTGATATTGCTTCACTAACCTTCAGCTCTGTAACAGAATCCATGGAGAATTATTTTACATTTGTAATTAGCTTAAAATCTGATACTGAAAATGTTAAGAATTGGGTTGATGAAAACAAAGTAGGGATCATTTCATTCTTTGTACCATCTATATCCCTGGCACCCAGCATAGTGCCTCAAACACAGTGGGTATTTAAATGACTGCTTCTTGATGAACTGTTCGATTGATGGGTATGAAACCCAGTTTATTAAGAGAAGTATCTGTAGACACTCTACACAGTGGTATTCTTTCCAACTTGGGAAAATGGGCATTGTAGTTATAACAAAGTATGAAGAGACTGTCTTTCATACATGTTAGGTTCCTAACAGTTCATGTTAATTTTTAAAAATCATACAGAATTTGAAAACAAAGAGTAGCAACTTCCAAATTCACAACTCTTCATCCCAAGAAAGGTGATAGCCTCCCATATGTGAAGTGGAACAGACAAGTTAATTTGCAAACCCTACTCCCCAGGAGCCTCAGCCTTTGAAGCCTCCCGACAACATGAGAAATTTGCCTGACCCCTGTCAGTGAGCTAGTTAGGCTTTGAGGGAGCCACAAATAATAATTTACTTGGTTATAAACTCCTTGCGGTCAGAGACCATGTACTACATCATCTTTGCGTCCCTAGGGCCTGGTACTGTTTTGTTCCTGACAACAGCAGGGGCTTATAGCTGTTGGTAGTTATCTCTATTAATTTATTTTTTGTTTTGGGTAATACTAGGTATAGCCTAAAAAATAATAATTACTTAGTCTTATTCAGTGTCTTAATTATAAGGGAAAATAATGTTTCCTCTACATTTGTACTTTCCATTTTTATATTTGTAGACACCATATTTTATTGTGTAACCTGCAGCTCAAATCCATTTGCATAAGACTCTCCTTATTAATGGCGATTGATTATTCAATGCCCATGCCTGCATGAGGGACAGAGTTGAAAAGAACTTGAGAGAGAAAGAAGACATATGATTCCAGATTCTATTCAGTCCCTTAAAGAGAGAGAAAGACTGTGGGAATGATCCATATCTCAACCACGTTCCTGTTCCCAGTTTACTGCACTAGAGAATTTACCCCTGAGCAATTCTAGGATTCTTGGTTGATCTGAGATATCTTGCTCCCAATGGAAGAGCTCATTCATTCTATGTATTGTCTGGTGCATTCTCATCTGCATACTTTCTCTGATTTCTATTTGTCATGGGCTTGGATAAATGGACTTATTTGCTTTATGCTGTGTGTGTTCTTTGTGGCATTTGATGGGAAGGAAGTCAAGACTTGGATTGTATAGCTTGGGACATCACTTCCTTGTTCAGGATTTGTGATAAGGAGCTCAGTTTAAAGCTAGAAATTATTTCCCCTAAACTTAAATACTTAGGGAATGGGGAAATACAGATTTAATTCTAGCCTAGCACCCTTTCTCTGAGGCAAGTGTAGTGGCCAGCCTCTGATCCTGATCTCCTGCTTCTCCTCCTGGTAAGAATCAGTCTCCCCTGGAGAAGGGTAGGTGGAGAAGGCTCTAGAGATATATATCCATACCTCACTGAAAGCCAAACCTAGACAGACTTATGTGTACATATGTAAACCTATGCGGACACCACACCGTACTTCTCTACAATTGGAAGAAGTGGGTACTTTAATGTCCAAGTTATAACCACTAACCAGCTGCAGCCTACCTGGAATTTTCAGTAATAGCAATACTTTGTCCAATTAGTCAGAGCACATAAACTAGTAAATCTGTAAGATCTAACTGCTTGTCCAATGTTACCAATGAGTAGCTGACTACTACCAGCTGACTACTACCGATTTTACAGCCTACCACTGAAAGACAACTTGTATTGCCCTATCTTAATGATGCAGTGGAAAAATAACTGAATTTAGAGTCAGAGGACACAGGTTCAAATCCCAGCTCTGGGCTTTACTAGCTGTGTGATCTCAGGAAAGTCTCATAATTTCTCCTGGCCTCAGTCTCCTCACTTGTAAAATGAGAGGAGTTATCCTAGATGACCTTTAAGGTTCCTTCTAGCTCTGGATTCTGATCCTTAATAAATCATTATCCCATTGTCACTCTAAATATCCTTCCTTTTAGAAAACTATCAACTGAATATTCAGCTCCTTGGGCCAATGTTAACATTTCTGTCTGGTCATCAGGGAGCCAAATGGGACCTCCTTGGTTAAGGCAAAAACGTGGTCCATTGTCTAGTCTCTAATATTTCTATCCCATTATTTCACCTTGAGAAGTATGTCAACATGACAGTATACCAGATTAACTGGGTCTTGATTTACGTTCTACATTTATTTGACATTTATTTTTAGCTAATAAAAAGTTTTATTGATGTAGTTATGCAAGTGGGAGAACTAATATTCATTTTATTCCTTTTAAATATTGATAAAATATCATGAGAAATGGTTGATATGACTTCCAATGAGAATGAATGTGATTTAACAATCTGTGTTTCCATTCATCAGATTGTAACTTGTTTTAAAACAATCCCTCCCCTGCCCCCAAACAGGTTTTTGCCTGGATGCTTTTCTCTGCAGGTGCCATAAGCATATTTTAAATTAAGAATGGTGGCCAACAGGAAAGAGAAGATATAAATGTATAAATAGAATGTTTCTTCTGGAGTCTCTGGTATTCAGGAAGCTCATACTCTTCATACAAATATATAAAATATTTTAGTGATCTACATTCATTGGAATCCATTCCTTTTTCTCCTTAGGTCTTCAAGTCAGGCCCTGCAAAAGGAAAAACCAAAGAATTACTTTTTAGTTTTCACAGGTTATTTTTAGGAGGAAGTTCATAAATAAATCAGGGCAGAAACAATGAAAAACTGAAGCTCCAGCTTTCCTAGGACACAACATCCCCTCAACTCCAATAATCAAAGTGAACTCTAAAGGGAAGGTTTGTACCATCAGCATCTATCCAGGTAATTTAATAGACTGAAGATACATGGAATGATTTAAAACTCAGGGTTTTTTACTTGCATATAATAAGTAATGTGTGAAATGGAATTCCATTTGGGTAATTAGGAAAGATAATCCTCACTTGTGTCTCAGGAATAAAATAGGGATTGTTTGGGGGGAAAAAAGTTACCCAGAGGTAGGTTGTGGCTTAACCAGGGTCACGTGTTCAGTATGTGTCAAAGGCGAAACTTGAATCTGGGTTTTCCTAGCAGCAAGGCCAGCTTTCTATCCACTCTGCCACTGATGCTTCTTAGTAATCAAGACAAAAATATCAGAAAGGGTCCTCTTGCAACTTTGACAACCACTGATGGAGTAAGATGCCCTCCTTTGGGGTCCTCCCCACATCTGCAATTCAAGAGGATGCTTGAGTGCTTCTCTGTTCTAAAGATTGTCATACTAAAGATGCTGTCCATCTCGAGAGAAAGAACCACTGCCACATAGTAGCTGTGTGACCCTGGGCAAGTCAGTTAACCCCAATTGCCTTGAGAAGAAAAAAAGAAAGAAAGAGAGAGAGAGAGAGAGAGAGAGGGAGAGAGAGAGAGAGAGAGAGAGAGAGAGAGAGAGAGAGAGAGAGAGAGAGAGGAAGGAAGGAAGGAAGGAAGGAAGGAAGGAAGGAAGGAAGGAAGGAAGGAAGGAAGGAAGGAAGGAAGGGAAAGAAAGAAAGAGAGAAAGAAAGAAAGAAAGAAAGGAGAGAAAGAGAGAGAGAGAAAGAAAGAAAGAAAGAAAGAAAGAAAGAAAGAAAGAAAGAAAGAAAGAAAGAAAGAAAGAAAAGAAAGAAAGAGAAAGAACTGGTAGAGCCTAAATGCAGATGGAAGATACTTTTCTTTACTTTCTTTATTTTCCTTTGGGCTTTTTTGTCTCTGTTTTCTTTCACAGCATGACTTACATGGAAATGTGTTTTGCATGACTACACATGTATAGCCTATGTCAAATTGCTTGCCTTCTCAGCGGGGGCAAGGGGAGAGAGGAAGAGAATTTGGAACTCAAAATCTGAAAAAAGGATGTTAAAATTGTTTTTACATGTAATTGGGAAAAAATATTAAATTACAAAAAAACAGATTATCATGCTTACAAAAAGTTAATCTCAATTTCATTCTTCAGTCATGATTGCACTAAGAAGGCTATATAACATGCTCAATATCTTCTCACCTTTTAATTGTCACTGGCTGAAGAAGAATGAAAAGAAAGCCAATGAGAGAGACCATTAAAGCCCCAAATTATGATTCTGGTCATATGGGAACATAGATAATGAGCAGGTTCCTGAGGGCTGTAGTTCAAGATGGAGGTTTGAGTGTGAACAAGGAAGCTCACTACCCCAACTGGGCCCGAGCCACCCATTTGCATACTTGGTTTCCTTGGGCAAAGTATGGATGGAAGCTCAGTAAAATAAAAGGGATCCAGGGTTTTATATACTACTCCCCAATATAGCAGCAATACCCTAGATTTAGAGTTAGGAGACCTTGGTTTAGGGTCCTGACTCAGCCACATGCCAGCTTTGTCACTTGCCCTCATAGTGGGCACATGACCCTTCAGCCTCAGTTTTCTCATGCATAAAATGAAAGACTTCAACAAGATCAGGTGTTAACCATTTTAGAATCATGGACTCCTTTTGCAGTGAGGTAAAACCTATAGACTCCACAGAAAAATGTTTTTAAATACATAACACAGAAGACATGAAATTATAAAGAAAACCAATTATATCAAAATACAGTTATCAATATTTTTTCTATAGTTCACACACTCCAGGTTAAAAACCACTGAACTAGAGAATTTCTAAGGCAGAGGTGGGGAACCTGCAGCCTGGAGGCCACATGTGGCCCTCTAGATCCTCAAGAGCGGCCCTTTAACTGAATCCAGACTTCACAGAACAAATCTAGGTTCCCCACCCCTGCTCTAAGGTATCTTTCATGTCTAAAATTCTTGATGCTACAAACCTATGAGGAGAATCTTTCTTGGACTACCTACCTCATAGGGAAGTGTGAGGATATAATGAGATCATGTAAGTAAAATACTACATAAATTAGAGGAAGCTTGGTGCATAGGATAGACATCTGGTCACTGAGGCAGGAAGACCTCAACCTAAGAACTGCCTCTGAAACTAGCTGTATGATGCTAAGCAAGTCACTTAGCATCGCAACTCTTAGAGGCTGTACACACACATACACACATACACACACACACACACACACACACACACACACACACACACTCACACACACTCATACACACCCAGAGAAGTTGTCCATCTACATTGGGCTTTCCCCCCAGGAGCTTTCAATAATGATGAAATCACAGGAGCAAAGAACAACAAACTATATGTGATATGGCCTCATAATAGAGTGTAGGCTACTTGAGGGCAGGGATTATATTGTTTCTTTTTGGGCTTAGTGTGGTTTCTTATACAGAGTGATTACGAAATAAATGTTTCAAAATGCCTCATCCCATCTCCCCCAAAAACCAAAGAAATAAGTTCAAGTTGTCGATCAAGAAATCAACTAGCATTGATTAAGAATCTAGTTTATGCCAGGCACTCAGCTAAGCACACAGGCAGAAAACTTCCAGGAAGAAAATCTTAGCAGTATTGATTCCAGTTGTACAACTGGAAACAGACACTTTTAATATCAGTCCTTCTGGGGAAATCCTATTCATGGAACTATCTCCAGCCCTTACATTTCTGTAGCTTTCATTTTGCCAGAAATTATACATTTTCAGCCCAAGCAAGCCCATGTTCTACATACAAGCATCCCTCCATGTATAATATAGCTATTATTACTTTTTTATCTTCATAATTCCTAAGAAAACTTCTAAACAGACACTATCTCATCACTCCAGTCTATGCTAGAAATGAAGACACTCTGCTACAACCACAATCAGGAGGGAGCTAAGAAGAGAAGCCCTTCAAGGTCCCCGCTCTTTAAAGTCGTGCCCAGACACATGAGATGGGCTAGTCCCTTAACCTTACTTTTAACTCCCTGAGTCTTACTTGCCTCATTTAAAAAATGAGGATGCACTACCTACCTCATTGGGTTGTGGAGGGACAAGTGTTTTGTTGTAAACCTAAATGTACTATGAAAAAGTGACTTAATATTATGACTGATTGGAGCAAGGAATACCAGGAAGTTTCAGCAAAGAACTATAAAAAACTTTCATGCAGTTGACTACTAAGTGCACTTGGATTCAGACAGGACACAGCAATAGACCCATAACTAGTGTGGGGCAACTAGGGCTTTGTCCCTAGGGGAATGAAATGTAAAAGGTTCTGAAACAACTGAACTTGGTGACTAATTAATAAAAATAATTAGGTAAAATAAGAGCTACAAATGGTACACTTCCTTTACCTAAGATGAGATCCCTTCTGCCTCTTCCTAGTTCTCTCTACAACCCCTGCACATTTTGTGAAGTTTATTCCAAGAGTCAAAATTGTTAGTTGTAATTCAACAGAACAACACCACTAAGATGGGCTATAGCTTCAAGAAAGATAGGCAATGGTCTTTGCTCTCAATTGAAATGCTCCAAGAGATGTTTGAGACATCTTTGTGTCCAAGAGATCTTTGCAGATTTTTGTAATAGCTTACTTATTCCTTCTACCTTCACCCCATATGCCAAAGAGGATACGATGATGCTCAACATTTGCCCCCTGTCAACCTTGAAAGAGGCAACATATATGCTAAAGAAAGACCTACAGTGCCAGGCTCAGAGCTCTAGATTTGGCCGATCACATTGAAAAGGGAAGAAATTGGAATGAACTGGAGGGCTAAAATTGTCCCATTCCGTAAGCCGCACTTGTTGTTTGCGTTGAGTGAGTACAAGTGCATTTGAGCAGAAAGCTCTTTCCTAATGTGCCCTTTAGGAAGGCAGCTTTACTGCAGGGGCCCCAGCTGTCAAATCCTTGCAGGCATGCTATTCTGTTTTGGGATGGCATGTGCAGGCATATGGGGGAATCTGAGGTATTCTACTAATGGCATTTGACCCATGCACTAAAACCCTGAACACATAGAGATTTCAACGTCTAAGCCGTACTTGGGAAATCTTCATTTTACTGACTACAAGAGAATGCACTGAATATTTCTCCTTGTGTCGATCTCTCCTCATTAATCCAGACTGAAAAGCATGTGATGTTTATTTCTTGCCATGATCCATTTATAGATGTGTTACTCACTGCTGCCACAGTCCCCCATGCATCATTTTAGGAAACGTGGATCACTCCATGCCCTTGCTTTCATTCGGTACTTTGACCAGACACTCAGCTAGCTCTACATTGCAGTCGTTAATTTCATAGATAGTGTTAAATCACAAACCTAGAAACACAGTCGAGTTTGAAAAGAGCCAATGGAAAGAAAGCACCATATGCCCCCTGGTGCTGCTTTCAGGAACTGTGTACCAGCCCATGTAACTGAGCACACCGGCCAAGACTCTGAGCATTTGGAAGGCTCCAAGAAATTAGCAAAGGACAGACAGATAATACAGGTTTGGATAAAAGCTGCTTCTCAAAATAGGAAACACCCACAAGTCTAAATTCAACTAAATTCCTATAAAGATTCTTAACTTGGGATCTGTGAAGCTTTTTTGTACATTTTAATGGCTATTCCAATATATAATTTGTTTCCTTTATGATCCTATGTATTTCATTTTAAACATTTAAAAACATTATTCTATGAACATGTCCATAACCTTCACTGGACTGTCAACAGGGCCCATCACACACACACACACACACACACACACACACACAGTTAAGAACTCCTGATCCAGTGTGTACAAGGACCTGTGTT